TCATTTAGGCTTAAGCTTATGTTGAAACCGGCCATTTTACTTAAATTCACTCATTTTCAATTGTGCATTGAGAACAAACAGTTAAGATTACTTATAGTTCTTGGATTACCTCATATCCTCACCGTCATTTATGTTTTTAACAAACGTTTTTACTAAAAAGCGGATACTCATTTTGTGGTAAGTGTGTAGCGGCAAATTTTAGCATTTTTGAAAGATTTAAAATAAAAAGGCCGCCAAAGTGATGAATGTCTCAGTATGTATATAATAAACACAATACCACATGGAAAGTGCTTTGTACGGTATTTACGCACTCGTTGTTTTTGTATCAGAAATCTTACTCGTTCGCTGCGCTCACTCGTTCGATTTCTGATACGTCAACAACTCGTGCGTAAATACCGTACGCCAGCACTTTCCATGAAGTATTCTCTATGTCTTAAATTTTTCTATACATCGCATTCGAATAGAAAATTAATTTCGTTCTCTACTTTATTCGACGAGGAAAGCTGTCATATCCTAAGATTCTCAGGAATTTTAGGAAGATGGTATCAATCAGTTTCAATTCTTAACTTGTGATTACTCCATTGTAATTTTGCTCCTGCCTGGCGATGTTTTTCGTTTTTAATAAGGTCTAAATATTCAGATCTACTGACATCAGTCTTAAAAGTGGAATTTATAGAAATTAATTTTTTTTGTAAGTTCGCAACATGTTCATATGGTCCTTTTTGAAGTAATCAATGATAGCATGTTATATTTTTGCCAGCTTCGAGTTGACCAATTTGGCTCTACAAGAGTTCTAGTGCTATCCCTGAACTGTAACTATTTCACGTTTCCGACTCGCACACATAGAAACGTTGGGGATAATATTTGTCTAACATGCGATCTAATAAAGCACTGAAATTTGGTTTGAAAATTCGTACTCGTATTGATTACAACCACAAAAATCACTCTTGTTGATGATTATTATAAAAAAAGGAACAATGTTTAGTCCAGCAGATGTCCTTCAAATAGCGGATGTTATCAGTCCGGGCGAGTGGTAATTTTGCTTATTGTTCTATTTTAAGGCAGTAGTTTGGCTATTCTACTTCTTCTGGCAAAAAGTGTGAATTTTTCTACTTAAATCGATGAGCTACTGCGCCTTCTGTTGTCCCTTTTTTCTGTTGATATTTGTAACATCGTCCAGATTGGGTTAACAGTGGCTGATATGGCGATTACTAGTGCGATTTAGCCGGAAGATTTATTCAAATAACAAACGGAGAAATACTTAGAAAGAATGACAACATAAATAAACACTGTACTCACAACTTTTCTAATTCTCCATTTAAATTTTCGTTC